TGCTTGTGTGATAATCTCTATTTTAAAGGAAGGGTACCATCATCATAGCAGAGTATGTGATAATATCAATAAATAATAAATATAAAATTCCTCTTAAGAGATGTTTGGTATATACAATAATTCAACTTCTATAATCTGATCGAAATTGAAAGGATTCTTCTAATTCTTCTGGGTGAAATTAAGGAGATCAACTCCTGTTACAATGCCTATTGGTTTGAATACTTTGGTAGGTCCAGCACCTGAAATTTGGAAAAGATATATATCCACTCAAAGGAATATACCTACCTACACTGCCCGCGTTAAGTATGGAGACATGAAGATATCTCCGACACCCCCCATTCGATATCATGTTTATATCAGGACAAAAACAGCATAAACTTCTTTCAACAAATATCAAGTGGTCCATTAAATTTTATCTTCTTGTAATAATATCATCATTGGTAGCAATAAAAGTGTTATTCCTAATTTCTTTCTTCGAATATCTCAGGAAATGTGCAGTCGTATTCAATAAAAAAGCGTACAGATATTAAACATAGAAGAATTCGGCATTCTAGTTCTCGTACTGTAAAATTGGCACAGCCAATGCTTTGTGTTTTTAAGGATCTATGATAACTCTACTGTCAACATTTGGTAAACATTCATTCCCGATAGCCCGTTTCAACGCAAATAAGATGACGTTGATTTATCCCTCCAATATACTGTACATTTGGCAACGTCGAAGAGAAGTGTCCTAGGGGTGTCAAAGATATCTTTAAAGTTTCATATGTCCATACTTCATGCGCACAATTATATTATGAAATATTGTCGATTTAGTTACCATTTTTCTCAATAATAAGGACGTATGGATCCTTTTCCAATATTCTAGAGATGAGCCCCAGGTTCGCTGATGGCACAGCTTTAGGGTACATCCTATCGATACAGTCGCCGGCACCATCACTTGGTTTGAGTTCACCGGAAATAAGTTTGTTTGTAAGGTTCTGGATCGTGACGACACCAGTAGTATGCCTGTGAAATACAATTAATAGAGGTATAATGATATGAGTGAATTGTTTATATGTCTTATCGATAATAATTGGCAACGATATAAAAAATTAATCATGATAGATTCATACAAATTTATTGCATCATACTAGATACTAGAAGGACTCACCCTCTATCATCTACTACAGGCACTTGTTCAACACCAGATTTCCGCATCAATTTCAAAACTTCTTCACAAGGAGTTTTTGGTGATGCAGTTTGGAGTTGAGGTAGCTGCAGTTTAGAAACATTGGTGTCCCACCACCTATGAAAACAATTTTGCATTATCAGATGATCCTTCGCTGATATTCATTGTCACTTTCTTACTTATGGTTTCCAGTGTTGACTGCCTCTTGAAAACCTCTCTGTTCCATCCATTGGTCACAAACGAATTTGGTGAGGTAGTTTCTAATACTGTCTGGTAGGATGACGACTACTCTGTGGCCTTTTCCTAACTTCATTTTTTGGGCTGCTCTCAAGGCTCCCACTAATATGGTACCACAACTAGCCCCTGGAAAATAGTGATGGGATCGATATTAGAATATTATATTTTTTCTGCAACCGACACAAAAGTCGTCCATTTTGATGCCAAAATTAGCTCTTAAATTGACGTTTCTATTACTGACACAAAAGTAGGTATGTTGCTAGGCAACATATTTAGTTCCTAGGAGCTAAAAGTTGAATTTTAGTTCCTAGGAGCTAAAGTTGAACTTTAGCTCCTAGGAACTAAAAAGGATGTACTGGACGTCATCAAGAATAAACAACATTGTAACGGTTGGTTATTTAGGTTGAGACGCATACCTGATTTGTTTCCGATTTCAGCAGATTTGGCATTTCATACCCATGCTGGAGATATAAATAATTAAATACACCTTATTAAAGATAGGTATTGGAATTATAAACATCTCAGTTAAGTATTTTTGTTTTGATCAGGGAAGCCTTCAAGATTCAAATACTTGCTTCATCTGTATTTCATTCGTTATTCTCGGGATGGTAACTTGTTTTTGAATAATCACGGCAAGCAATAGTTTTTTTGTCTCAAACAACGATATTGTTTAGCTTCATTTGATTATCAAGTCAAACATAGTGTAGTATGGAGAGGAATAAATAATCACTATTATCATTGTTGATATGCTCACTAACCTAACATTTTCCACGTCTTGTTCCTATAGCTGGAACTGGCGCGGTATTTGCCATTAGAGCACCTGGTCCATACACAAATATGTCACTCTGTGGTTGTATTTATATTGAAACTACAATTCGAACATCCTAGAAAATCTAACCTGCTGTTAATACAGGTAGAATATTCTCACCACATGGATTATTTGTCAATATTTGTTGCATTGCATACATAGGGCACGGCATTGGTGGTTACTTCACATGTTTATTTGAGTTAATTGTTTCGGTTGCAGAAAAAATAGCATGTTTCATTCGGATCAAAAGTGACTTTGTTCGACTCGCAAATTTTGCTTTCGCTCGGCTTCGCTGAACGCTCCGCCTCGCAAATGCAAAATTCGGTTGTCAAACAAAGTGTCACTTTTGATCCTAATAAAACAATCTACTATTATTTGATATCTAAGCAGTGTGTCAAATTCGAACGGCAGTTTACTGCTAAGGATTTAATTAGGTAGGTACCGGGCGATTTTTCAAAGTATAGTTCACCCCTGTAACTTTTTTATTATTGATGATGTAGTGATCTATGGTTTCCAGGAACTGATGCGTTATTGTTCAATAGAATGTTAATAACAAGATTGATATTGTTTTGGTATGTCAATATAAGTTATATAAGTTTTATCCGAATTGTCCACAATAAATCATTATTCTCATCTGTCGCTCCCAAAATGGTATAGTAAAACGAGGTTTGGGGGGTTGTGAATAATGGTTCGATCGAGATTTTTAAGCATACCTACTTGCTTTGCCGTACTCAATTCCCTGATTCATTCCATAATCGGTTATGGATTATCACAATGAATTCAACGATACCGGGTTTGATATGGTTATATCAAACGATTACGAATATATTTGCATTCCAAGTTTCCATATGCTCAATGGGTGTGACGGCGCAAAATCGAAACTGCTATCTCTGTCACACGGTCACACCCATCGAGCATAATGGCAATTTCGAATGCAAAAATCTTCGTAATCGTTTGAAATTACTCTATCAAACCCGGTATTGTCGAATTCGTAATGATATTCTACCCTAAACAGATATCTAGAATGAAGTACAGAGTATCCCTTATTGAAGATTTGAAAGTTGTGGTTATTTCTGGTCTAATCGGAACTACGTGCAGCAAGTATTTTTTTTATGTTCTGGTACCCACGAAAAGGGATATCCTGTAATGTTCAGAAAAGATCGTGAGAACCAAGGGAAATAAGGTAGGAATTGGTGTTCTTCTCAAATAACTGGAAGTTATATGTCACGGGGAACACCTCTCTTGGCAATGTGTTCCAGAGCCTCGCTGTTCGTTGGATGAACGAGTCTTTGGAAAGAGATATTCTGCAGGTCTCCAAAGTGACCACGAAGGGGTGCGAAGCCTCAACTCGACGGATTAATCTGGCGGGGACTGCCAAGGGAGGAACAATCGTTGATATTTCAGAAGAGCATCGTCCATGAAAATATCTATGAAATAGTGCCAGATCGCCAACTTTTCTACGGTGTTCCAGAGAAGTGAGTGAGTTTGTGAGCGAGGCATCACCCACGAGACGAATTGCCCTTTCTTGGACAGAATCCAACAGTTTCAGGGTATGTTTGGGTGCTGCACTCCAAATATGGGAACAGTATTCCAGAACAGGTCGGATCTATGCCTTATAGATCAGAAGCAGCTGACTGGAAGTGAAATAGCTCCTGGGTCGAAACAGAAAACCAAGTTTTTGGGATGCACTTTTAGCAATTGATCTCACGTTATTTTCCCAAGAAAGGTTATTGCTGATAGCATCGAAATGGATGTCTCCAAAGGTATGGTCACTCCTGACCAGCTTTATGTTGTGTTGTGTTGTGTTTGTGTATTTTTTATGGAAGGGAAGTCGTTGCTGACCAGTAGGAATGAAACCATAGTGTATATTGGGGGTAGCAGCAATGTAAAAGGAATACTCTTTAGAGTTTATCCAAGCTTTCGGAAATGTTTATTTCCATCATTGTGATAACTTTTCCTCTCACATTTTCTACGCCACTGATGCAATTTCGATTATTCCCAATTTCTCGAATTGATTGTTCAATTATGTTGAAAAAATGCATCACCTTCAAGTGAGCTAAAATAAACAGTTATCGAGATATTTGACCCAAAATAGGAGTTTGCATAGTAATTTTTCAACTTCCTCAGTAGTAGAAAATTACAAAAAAGTTCGTTTTCTCTCTATGAGTGGAATAACTATTTTTGTTCAGCTACAGAATGAGATCTGAATAGTATCTAATCTACTCAACACCAGAAAAATATTTTTGCAATTTTTTACTACTGAAAATGATGAAATAGCACTATGCAATCTACTATGTTGGGTCGAATATCTCGAAAACTGTTCATTTCAGCTGAGTTGAAGGTGATGCATTTTTTGAACAAAATTGAACAATGAATTCGAAGAATTGGAAATAATCGAAATTCAATCAGTGGCGTAGAAAATATGGGAGGAAAAGTTACCACAACCACTGGATAAAATGTCGGGAATGGCTTTCTGGTCAAAAAATGACCCATTCAAAGATAAAACCTTATACCGAATTTGAATGCATTATATTCAATTTTTCTCGACATATTGCGAAAAATGTATTCAAATTTTTCAACTTCAACGCCCTGTATCTCGATAACTGGACACTTAAAGACTGTGTGTCCCTATCTCAATGATTATGAAATCACGAGAGCTATCACCTGTCAAGCGTTGTCGGTCGAATTTCGCAACACCCTGTCTATCCCTATTACAAACAAATATGTTTCTTGGGGGTAATAAAGAAGAACAGCAACAACAAGAATTGGACCGCACTGCGTACTCACCGATCAACAGTCCTTCCTCCCTGATCAGCCGCCTGGCCATACCCAGCGAGTCCTTATCCAACACTTTCTCCCAATGATCGACCACTTCCCTGTCCAGACAGGTGGGAAGGAACGTGTAGCCAATGCCCTCGATCTCGATGAACTCGACGTCGGTCTTGTTGATGCTGTCAGGGTAACCGTACACCGAGCCGTACGGGTCAGCACCTACGACCTTCGTCTGAGGCGAGATCTCTTTGAATTTCCTGCCAATGCCACTGATCGAGCCACCTGTGCCTGCTCCCATCACCTATAAACACCGAGAATAAGATGAAACCCAGCAAACAAGCCAATTACATCACAGCCCACCGGGATTGACGCAGTGAAAGAGCGTCCGTCTCACTACCGCAAGGTCGTGGGTTCGATTCCCAGCACAAGCAAGGAACTTTTTTCAATATTAAAGTTTCGGAGCATCGGCAGGGATAGTCCTGCACGATTCGCTGTTGCGTTCCAATTAACAGTGCTGCTCCTAAAGTGGCGCATGGAGTTAGTGACAAAGCCTACACAGAACACGCAGAAAGCGATGATGATGTGGTTGTGAGCATCAGAGAAGAAGTAGGACGGTGTATGTAAGTGGGTGTGGAAAATTACCAGCTGAGCGTGAGAGCGGGCCAGCTGCTTAGAGCAGGCCTGCCACTGCAGCATATGGTAGTGAGTACATTACTAGCCTACAAAACACAGCCGAAAAACTCTGAAAGAGAGCTGATGGGCGGTGCCAGGAAGAAATGTTAGCCAGCTCTCTTAAGCGAACCACATCAGTCATTGAAAACACTTTGGGGTTTGCAAAAAGGTCCCATTAGGGACTAGTTGCTGACGTGCAAACGTCCCCCACCAGTACCAGTACCAGTACATCACAGCCCAGTTAACACAGATTGATCCATTTCTAGGTATAATCATGAACAACATATTATCTCTTTTTTTGAATTGACTCGGCCATTACTTCACAAACGATAACGTTGGCTTGCTTAACTTTTATATATCCTACTTTCCCAACTTGAAGGTTTATCAAAAATAATAAAGACAAAACTTTTAAATTCGAAAAATCAGGGGTATACAAATTCAACTGTGGATCTTGTCCTAAGGTATATATCGATCAGACAGGTCGTACCTACGTTCAATCAGCGCATTCATGAACATAAGATGATTTTTTTTGAAAAAGAAAACAAATTCAACATACACCAACCATATAATAAGAAGAAAAAAATCATAGTTTTGATGATAATTTCGAAATTCTACACGTAGAAAATGGAAGAATGAAACTCAATCGTTTTGAATCATTAGAAATCAACAAACTCAAATATGTTGACATTTTACTTAACGATCAATTAGACCTCAATAGTTCACCACTATTGAATTAATTTTCTTAGTAGGTAATAATATGTATTTGCTATCAACTCTTTCAAGTTAATCTGGTACACCGTATTTTAATGTAGATATTGTGCCTAATTTCCGAAAATTGAGGTTTATCGAACCTGTTCACAGGTAACTAATCCTTCAAGTTGGGAAAGTAGGATACATAAAAGTGGAGCAAGCCAACGTTGGTTTAGTTCATTGTACCAGTATATCACCTGACGAAGCTACTGTGTTGGTGAAACATACGACGCGTCTGAACTGCCATCCTTGAAAAACTTTTTTTTTTACGAATATTTGCCTAATATACAGTTGCAACTGTAAATTAGTGGTAATTTATAGTTGCAACTGTAAATTGGGCAGAAGAAACTTTTTTTTGCTAAATATCGCCTAATTTACAGTTGCAACTGTCAATGAGCACTAATTTACAGTTGCAACTGTAAATTAGGCAGAGAACACTTTATTTTTCAAAACACCTCCTAATTTACAGTTGCAACTGTAAATTAGAGTCTCACAGTCTCAGTGCTCCCAATTTCTCACCAGACTAAAAGACATAGGCAGAACAAGAAGTATCACTTTATTGCAGCTCAAACAGTTAGAAATGAGTAAAATTTAACTAAAAGCGCATCGTCATCGTGTGCTATCGAAGAATTATAATAATTTATTCAAACATAGAAATACTTTATATGCTAAATATTATACATTCTTACATGACTCAGATCGTTCAATATCTTCCCGTTACCCTTTTTTGTATATTTACAATCTGCTTGGAACTTCCAGGGTACCTAGCACTTACTTACTATTGAAATTACCCATCCAAATCACCCGCACTCTTGCCCAACTACGTATGGCCAATCACTTTAAAATTAAATTCACCCTGAACGGAATTGCCTACTCCATTGACCCTGATCAAATTTGTCCAGTTTGCAACAGGAACGAAAATGAAACTCTCCTCCATATTATTTTTGACTGTCCGATCTACACTGTCATGAAACAAGGAGCTCCATGTCTAAGGAATTTGGAAACATTAATCATTGCCTTACAAAAAATAACAATCAGTGATGCTAGAATAATTTCTGAATATATTTGGAATATCCTTAAGCTAAGATCATTTATTTTGAATGAATAAACTATAATTGTATTATTTTCTTCTTCTATAACTATTGATATTTATTTTATACTTGAACTTGGTAGGTTTTAATGTTCAATCGGTTTTTTTTTTTTTTTTATTCATTTCCAGAGTACAAACATACATATTATCCTTTTTTTTTTTTCTGTCATACACTCGTTGCTGTAAACTTGTTTAAGAAGCAATAAACTATTATTATTATTATTATTATTATCGAAGAATGAAAGCTGCGCTGCTTATGTCTGTTAGTCTGGTGAGAAATTGTGAGCACTGAGACTGTGAGACTCTAATTTACAGTTGCAACTGTAAATTAGGAGATGTGTAGAATAAAAAAGTTCCCTTGTTCTAATTTACAGTTGCAACTGTGAATTAGGCAGAAGTAACTTTTTTTTTTCAAAATATCTCCTAATTTACAGTTGCAACTGTAAATTAGGAGGTTTTTCGAAAAAAAAAGTTTTCTCTCCCTAATTTACAGTTGCAAATGTGAATTAGTGCTAATTTACAGTTGCAACTGTAAATTAGGCGATATTTAGAAAAAAAAGTTTCTTCTGCCTAATTTACAGTTGCAACTGTAAATTAGGCAAATATTCGTGAAAAAAAAAGTTTTTCAAGGATGGCAGTTCAGACGCGTCGTAGAAACATGTTGTGTGTTTAGAATTTTGTGGAAATCTTATAGTAAGTAAGTAAGTAAGTAAGTAAGTAAGTAAGTGAGTATATGTAAATTGTCGCTTGTTTTCAAATTATATTGTTACCCTGTATGATATGGCGTACAACAGGGGTAAATGTGGACCTGATGGCAAACATTTCTACGATTCTGAAGCATGTTGTGAAAAATTACCTACTTACCTACTAATGAATTAAGACTGAAAATATACTTACCACCATATCGACTTTTCCATCACACTGATGATAGATTTCCTCAGCAGTAGTATCGTAATGAGTGAGAGGGTTTGATGCATTAGAGAACTAGAACGAAAAATAACAGAAATTAAAACCTAGGTGTTCCATTCGAGACTATCCACCCTCGATAGCAGAAAAATGATTTCACAAAAAAATAGCGGAACACGTCAATATTCATTTGGAGGGGGACAGCATTTGACGCAAAAAAGATAATATACAGGGTGTCCCATAAGATATGGATCAAAAGACAATCCAAGGAATTTCAAGGAAATCCATGGAATTCCAAGGAAATCTAGAGAATTCCAAGGAATTCCAGTTGTTTGTACACAAGAATTCCATCGCGGTTTGCCCCTCGTCCGTAAACGGAGTGAGGTAGACATTTTTTTTATATGAAGTAGCAACATTATTTTGGCTCATCAGCTCAATGATTCACATGACCTTTCCGGACACCTTGTAATTAATATTTAAGTATGTACAGTCGCATTGAAAAAAAGCGTACAAGTATATAACAGAGAGAAATTAACGTCATCCTATTCTGCATAAAACTAGAGTCCCTGTATATACCTTAGACAAGAGTCTGGACACAACTATACTTCTATCCTTTTCTGTTGTCAAACCGTTCATAGCCGTAGGTAGAAGTGAGAAATAGGGCTATTTTAACTAGAATAACTATTAGATTTCCAAATAATGAACAACAGGGTGTTCAAATTTCGAATCGATAATTTTCGTAATAAATTCCTGAGATGGCTATTGCAAATTTTCGTCATCAGATATTTCTTTCCTTCATTAGATATAAGAAAGGTAATTTAAGTGGTACGTGGTATCACATATAGCCAAGAAAATTTTAATTGTGTCGGTTTCCCACCTCTTCCTGCAGTCTACATTCACCAGTAAATTTTTTAGTTTGATCTGAATTAAAAACACCGTGGACTGATGACATAGCACATTGCAATTTCCCCCTAAATCTTCTAGTTTTGATTTCAAACTTTCAATTTCTCTCCGCATCATCTCATTCTCATTTTCTTTCTCTGCGATCGTATCATTCAGTAATTCCCAAATACGATGACGACGGAACTCTCTTTTTGAAGAGATAGACGGCACAGCAGACTCTTTCAATTTGAAATCCATCAGCTTGAAAGAATCTATCAAAATGGGCCTAAAATTCATCTTTTTTGTACTGTTTTTACAAGTGGATTCGAATATTGCGGATTTCTTGAAATTAATTTTCTATTCTGGACGTTTCATTGCAATCTTCCATGACATTATCTTTAAAGGATCATTCGGAAAATTAAATAACTCGAATCCCTTTTCTAATGAATTATCGCAATAATGTACGCAGCAGGACATTGAAATAATTTAAAATGCATAATTTTGGCGGTCATAAAATTTCAAAGTGACAGTGACAGAAATTCGAAATAATTAAAATAAGTAGACGACTTTGGTGTTTCGTCACATTGTCAGGTGGGCAAACCAAATGAAACAAAATATTAAAAACCCCAACGGCTGTCAGTTTTGTGTCCGGACTCTTGTCTAAAGTATATACAGGGACTCTACATAAAACGGGCTATCGGGAATCATCAAAGGTTGACAGTAAAGTTGTCATAGGTTCTCGAAAACACAAAGCATTGGCTGAGTCAGTTTTACACAACTAGAACTGTATGTATTACTTGATCGAGATTAACGGCGTTTGGGATTTCTTTGATCAATCGATGAACGGTTCCGAAGAGGCCTTCAGGTGAGAATTCGTCAGCAGTACCGGGTGTTCTAACTACTTCCGTTCCAAGAGCCCTCATAACGAATTCCTTTTCGTGTGAAATTTTCTCGGGGATAACAACGATACATCTGTAACCTAAAAAAAATGTTCCGCTGTAGGATGCATGTGAAAGGGGCAATTTTTTCTATGAACCCTCTTATAATAGGAGAGCACGAGGAATGTAAAAACATTGTATTTTATCGAACGGCTCCTGTGCCAATCACTATCCTGAGCAAAATGATAGAAAAGTTACACTTTTCTGTGCGGTAATTGTATGGTTAGATCTCGAAAACCTACCTGTGAGTGCCACCCCTTAATCTGAGTCAACTTCACGGCACACTATTTCATTTGCTGTCACTATTCCGGACATACTTCCGTCATGTGATAACGAGTTTTTTTTATGTTCTGGTTCCCACGGAAAGTGGTATCCCGTTCAGAGAACATCGTGAGAACCAAGGGAAATGAGGTAGGAATTGATGGTGTTCTTCTTGAATTTCTGGAGGTTATATGCCTCGGGGAACACCTCCCTTGGCAATGTGTTCCAGAGCCTCACTGTTCGTTGGATGAACGAGTCTTTGGGAAGATATGTTCTGCAGGTCTCCAAAGTGACCGCGAAGGGGTGCGAAGCCTCAACTCGACGGGTTAATCTCGCGGGGACTGCGAAGAGAGGTACAATTGTTGATATTTCAGAAGAGCATCGTCCATGAAAATATCTATAAAATGGAGCCAGCCAGAGCACCAACTTTTCTACAATGTTCCAGAGAAGTGAGTTAGTTTGTAAGCGAGGCATCACCCACGAGACGAATTGCCCTTTCTTGGACAGAATCCAACAGTTCCAGGGTATGTTTGGGTGCTGCACACCAAATATGGGAATAATATTCCAGGACAGGTCAGAGATCTGTGCCTTATAGATCATAAGCAGCTGACTGGAAGTGAAATAGCTCTTGGCTCTAAACAGAAAACCAAGTTTTTGGGATGCACTTTTCGCGATTGATCTCACGTGATTTTCGCAAGAAGTAACATGATGTTGCTTCCAACAAATCGTGGATATGGAGTAGAAATAGTGTTGGTGCTAGAATTGATCCTTGCGGAACACCAGCATTTATGGTAAGAGAGTCAGATGAAACTCCGTCGACCACTACATGGAGAGACCTGTTTGAGAGAAAACTACCTGGGAGGCAAGACGGCAAGATGGAAGCTTGGCGAGGAGTCCGAGGTGCCAGACTCGATCGAATGCCTTGGAGATATCAAGTGCCACGGCTAAGGTTTCACCATATTTTTACATACAATAGATTTCTGCCATATATGTGAGACGTAAGCGAGCAGGCCACCAGTTGATTTCTGATGACGGAAGCCATATTGCCTATCGTTGATAATATCTGAATGTTCCACTGTTCCAGGTATTTCATGAGCTCGATGTTGTGATAGCTTTCTCCATGATCTTTGAAATAATAGAGTTGAAACAATGAACAAATAAAAGGGTATATCCAAACGTGCCACGATTCGAACTGATCTAAGTTAGTAGCAAAGCAGTAAAGTTTCAGTGAATAATTCGCCCCTGTCGAAAGATAATATCTGATGGACCAGTGTAAAACTTATGTGGTGCTCGCACTACAAATATTCAAATTCACATGTTGAGATTCACACGGATAGCGTAGCCTCGTGGTTGAAGCGTCAGTATTTTATCCACGTTGGATTGCCGGTAGGAGGGTCCGAATTCCACCACGACCGCAGACATTCTTCTGATGGCCTAAGAGAGTGTTTGGGATCACACGTTAAAAGGTAAGATCCCCGTCATTCCTTGCTCGCACAAGTCTCTTGAAGACTTCGGAGGGTTGCTCGTAAGGGAGCAACCGAATGATGGATAAGAACAGTTTCAGAACAACAACACTGGTCCATCGGATATTATCTTTGGAGAGGGGCGGAATATTCTCGGAAATATCGACGTTCTGCCACTAACTTAGATCAGTTTGAATCGTGGCACATTTTGATATTCGCAAAGGGGACATTATCCCCTTTTATTTGTTTTTTTGTTTCAACTCGTTATCACATGACGGAAGTATATCCCGAATAATGACAGCAATAATTTAAGCGTTGTGCCGTATAGTTGACTCTCATTAAAGGGTGACACAGGTTGGGATCTACGATATACGGGGTGTAACAGGATCATTGTACATCTCATTTTTCTCCTTCAGTTTTAGAGGTGTTTGATTGAACTTTGGAATGACTCATCATCAACTTCATAAACGTCATGTTTTGACATGAATATATATGTTTTATTTTCCAGTGGTAAAAACTTCTGATTTTCAGATGGAACACCGAGTATCTATTTGTTTCGAATTCTGCATCATTTTTCTGAATCCAATGATACCACATAAGTGACATTTCAAACTTCAATATTGATTTGAATTTCATCTTTGATTTTCCATCTCAGTGTGCCATGACTATTCTGATTGAGTCTAATGTACTAACTCATATTGACAGGTAGTACTAGTAGTAGTTTTATTGACCCCTTAAAACGACCTTACAAAAGCCATTGGACAAATCAAAATACACGAAAAATACAAATACACATTCAAATAACTAACAATAAGGTGAAATGACTGAAATAAAATAAAAACATTTCGTATAAAGATCATCAGTTCTGTAAAAATGTAAGAAATTCATCAACTGTATATGGGCTAATTTCAAAGAGGAGATTTTTTAATTTATATTCAAAGACTTTCTGATAACTTGAACATTTATATTTCCTGGAATAGCATTATATGCCCCAAGTCCCAGAGATTTGAAAGAATTGAGACACAGAGACAATCGTGTCGTAGGCAAATGGAATCTGTTTTGGTTCCTGGTATTATAATTGTGGATATGATTATTTTTTATGGAACTTTCTTCATTATTGTGTACAAAAACTAGAATTTCCATGATATAATGACCTGCTAAAGGTAATATTTTGAACTTCTTGAACAGATTTCGGCATGACTCTAGAGGTGATACTTTCGAAATAATCCTGCTAATTCGTTTTTGTGTTGAAAAAACACATCGTGCTGATGGAGAATTTCCCCAGACAATGAGTCCATAGCTGAGTCTGGATTGAATTCCTCCAAAATAATATATAGGAGTGAACCTGAATTATCAAGAATTCTTCTCAGGTTTCTCAACAAATAACGAATTGTGTTAGGATTTTTGTTGAGTTGAGTGCAATGTGCACGAAAATTGAGATTGCTATCCAGAAAAACACCAAGTGATTTCACACTGTCACCTTTTCCCACCACAACATCTGACTAATAATACTTGGATTAACATAATTAGTATTTTGAGCAGTATGGAAAATAACAGCTTCTGTTTTAGAAGTATTCAGATACAGAAAGTTTTCACAAAACCAGTTTTGAAGATTATTCAAATCTGATGATTCAATGTTCTCTGTTGCAGCTCAACTCGATCATAAGATTCAAATAGAAGAGAGGAGGTGTAATGCTAAAAAAATTGTATCCTGTCATTTATTCATCACTAATTTCAGTTCATCGAAATTAGAGGTGTACTATGATCCTGTTACACCTGGTATACCATTTGTAACGATTATTCCGTTCCATTGAGATGTTTTTCAATTAATCAATCATTTAATTATCTGACGTCCATTCGTTCTTCTATCTACTTCCGCTTATCAGCCCTTCACCGGTTCAATAACCATATCGAATTTATCAAGTCTTGCGCGCTCGTCCTTCCCGCTAGGCAGCGACACAGAAGATCGAAGAAGGGAGACTAAATAACCAATCAGGAGAAGGGATTGATAGGAAAGGATCTTTCGCGAAGAACGAATAGGAAAATCAAAGTCCTTCTGATTTGAACTACCGACTTGAAAGGTTGAAGTGATAGGTTGTGGGAATTGAAGATATCTGGTAGGTCTGGATCTATCTTTATTTTTCGAGTGAAATAACTTGTCATCGCAGACATTTGGTTTGTTGGAGTTGATTATTGTATATTGAATTAAACATTCACTGATATTATATATTTTTGATCGAATTTCATTTTTGTGAGAAATAATTGAATTTGAGTTAATTGAGGTTACAATTCATATCTGATGGTTTCTTAGGTAATAATCAGTCATCGATATCAATTTATTAGATATTTGAGTTGTTCATATATTGTTTTAGCACTCGTTGATAATATTTTCGTAAAATTGACAAATTTATAAGTCATATATTTTTTTTTCAGCTTGAGGTTAAGTAATATCTGGATTTCTCTGCCTGGTTGCTTAAATTTGCTTCTTATAATTTGTTGCTATCAACAGCTTCGTTGCTTATTTTTTCCTCAATCAATAAGTTGAAAATAGTATCTACTCTTTTGAAATCATTCTAGGTACTTATTGGAAATTCGAAACGTCATCGTAGTTTCCTCAGATGTTCATCCAGGAAACCTGAACTGAAGTCTACTCTGTGTCTCGTCCAGGAACCTTGAGCCTACAGGACCTAGAGCCTTGAAGTTGAACCTTGACGTCCAGGCTGTACCTTTCCAGGATTCTTTCTCAGGTGAGCATTTAATTTCTATTGTCAACTTGTGAAATTCTTTTCCAAGTCATTTTTCATTCTCTCTGAGAAATAAATGCAACCTGAGGAAGGTTTCCTTCTCTCTATAGCCTGTTCAGTCAAAATTTGTCTGGTTCCTGTATAGGTTTTGCCTTCTTGTGACGAAAGCACAATCTATAGTTCAAGTTTTCTGGAAGTGAGATTTTTCTCTATATCTTACTGTCAGTATCTACTTGGTCAACTCAACAAACCACATGTCAATGCATGCCTATTTCCTTATCTCCAGATATACCAGATCTTAATTCCAGACCTGTCAACTTCACACCTGAAGTACTTACCTATTTTCTGGCATTTAACTTTTGAACCAGGACTTGCCACCCTGTATATATATCTTTATACATACCTTTTTCTTTTACTTTCACGGAAAAGTAGATTACCTGTTAACTTCAAACTTGAAAGAGTACCTATTATCAGGCATTTTACTTTTGAACAGGACTTGCCACCCTGTATATAGATATTACAATTTCTTTACTTTCACTAGAAGGTAGTTTTCCCGGCATTTTAGTTGAAGGATTTGCCACCCTCATTTAATTTTCCTAGTTCGTAATTTATCAAAGTTGAATTTGGTTTTTTTCATTAGATAAATGATAATTCTTCCTTGAATTTTTTTGTAATAATATATCAATACCAGGATATCTCATTATTCTGATTTATTCAAATAACTTCTCTCTGATTTGAATAACAAATTCATAATTTGCTTCTCAGTTATTTCCATTTCTAATTTGAGTAAATTTTCTCTAATTTTCAAGTGTCAAGTTTTTATTTGAATTGAATTCATTATACATACCTTCTCACCTTTTCTAAGTTCTCAAAATTTTATAATTATCCCTTTCCAAAATTTACATTCAGAACATAAAACTCAGTGAGCGGTTCAAAGGATATCCTTTCGTCCCTTTAATCACATTGTCGACAACTTTCTGATTCCTCGTATATTTCCGCATGCACTCTACGTCTATACCTGCTACGAGGATCCTGGTTAACCAAAGAGGGTTGTAAAGGACGGTAACACCTGGAGATTCCCTACTGAGCAGTCAGAACTGAAGGAGAGGCTATACCTTACAACTTCCATCATAAGTAGTACCCCCAAAGTACTTGGTAGCTCTGGAAGCAGAACCGAGAGCTGGAAGCTGAACTGACTCTGGAGATTGAACTCCCATTTACCTCAAGGAAACCCTCTTGGTCATTTCATCCGGCCACCCAGGTATAATCCATCCAAGTGCCAAGACCTTCAATTGGAATCAGATCGTATCAATAGCTTTTGTAAAGTTGAATGTTCTGAATTTATTTTGCTCCATTTCTCTTGTTTTTCTTTTAAATTTTTCAGTATTTTCAAATAATCCTCAATCTTGTTTTTGGCCTTCAGCCACTTCAGTCTCACACAATTTTAAATATTCTTAAGGCCTTCAGCCACTTCTCACAAATTATTGTTATCCTTTATTCTTCTGGCCTTCAGCCACATTGTAATTTTATCAAGGAATTAAATTGTTGAATTGATTCTCTGTATATTATTTGTTTTGTCTTCTCATCCAAGCAAGGTTTTTAGGAAGTATCTGATTGGCTTTTGTCTTTTGCAAGCCTGGCGCCCAAATATATCTAACAGTCAAATTAATCACCTTAAAATCATCCTTAGAATTCATATTACTTGATTACCATCTTAACAGTAAAATTTTAACTTTTGAACTCACACCCTACCGTATCAATCTGAGCAGCCCAAAGGCATAAGTATAAACTTTCATATTTTTTGTTTCAAAATTTTTCAAATTCTGAATTCAGAGTGTGGAGTGTTACACATTCGAATGGTATCGGAAGGCATTCTCATCTCGTTATCAAATCGCGAAATCAAGTGCGAGTTGCCGCACAGGAAAGTGTAAGTTTTCAATCGTTTTGCCCATCAGGATAGTGACTCCTTTGGTAAGAACTCTATATTATTTTGTTATCAGATGACGGTCTAAATTTGCAGTTGATAGCCCTTGGACTATTACCTCGGATGGCACAAGCCATGGCTAATCCAATGCCGGTGTTTCCCGAAGATGGTTCGACGACGGTGTATCCTGGTTTGAGCACGCCGGCTTTTTCGGCATCATCCAGCAGTCTGAGTGCCATGCGATCTTTCACTGAACCGCCCGGGTTCAGAAACTCACATTTTACCACTGAAAAATAGTAGATTGTTTTATTAGGATCAAAAGTGACACTTTGTTTGACAAGCGAATTTTGCATTTGCGAGGCGCAGCGTCTAGTGAAATAATATGGGAACATATTTTTCATTCAATAATTCATTGCGAAACCAACTAAATTATTTTTTCTGTGACGGGAAAAAAGTTTGACATATCATCTCTGTTGACAGGTTATAAAATGTCACTTTTCATAAATTACTTTTTTCCCCTGGGAAAAAAGTGAGTACTTTTTTCCCGGATATATATCACATATTATTATATACAGTGTGTCCCTAGACTAGTGTGGGACAGTTGAATATCTCCTGAACCAATAGGAATTTTCAAAATATTATAATTCCACATCATATCGCATCATGAGTGCTAACTCCAGGAATGACTAAATTTTATACGAGGGGCGCAAGAAAGGCTCACAAAATCGAACATCAATTTTTTCAAATGGAACACCCCATATATTTCAATATATCTGAATTCTCATTCCTTTAGGCTAATTATCAGTTTTTTTTGGAAATCCGACAAGGCGTTGCCAAGTTATACCAGTATTTCATGAAATGCAGACATTTTTTTTCATAGGCAAACCCATTATTCATACTACTTAGAATTTATGGAATCATTCAAGACTGTTGGTAGTCGGTGGCATATTCTATCATATGAAATACTCATCTTCTTCGAAAGTTATACAGGGTGGTCAGAAATATTATATGATTTTCACAAAATTCTAACTTTCTTCACATTAATTTTTCGAATAGTGCACCCTACAATATGTATGATTTTATATCCCATTGGTGGTTTGATTGCCCATGGTCAATAGTTGTGAAAGAGAGATGTGAATTTCATCATCAGCAAATGCAAATAAAAAAAAATGCAGTAAACTATTTATTCAACTGTACTTAACTACTAACAAAACAGTCCCAAAAAGAAAAAACTGACTTGACGATAAATATTCGAATTGCCTTCGAATTGCCTTCCGTTTGCTGCAAAGCACATTTAAAAATTTTTCATTACATGATATAAAATTATACATATTGTAGGGTGCACTATTTGAAAAATTGATGTGAAGAAAGTTTGAATTTCGTGAAAATCATATAATATTTCTGACCACCCTGTATAACTTTCGAAGAAGATGAATATTTCATATGATAGAATATGCTACCGACTACCAACAGTCTTGAATGATTCCATAAATTCTTAGTAGTATGAATGGTGGGTTGGTCTAAAAAAATGTCTGCATTTCATGAAACACTAGTATAACTTGGCAACGCCTTGTCGGATTTTCAAGAATAAAAAACTGATAATTAGCCTAGACTCTAGAGGGATGAGAATTCAGATATGTTGAAATATATGGGGTGTTCCATTCGAAAAAAATGATGTTCGATTTTGTGAGCCTTTCTTGCGCCCCTCGTATAAAATTTAGTTATTCCTGAAGTTAGCACTCATGATGCGATATGATGTGGAATTATAATATTTTGGAAATTCCTATTGGTTGAGGAGATATTCAACTGTCCCACTGGTCTAGAGACACACTGTATACACTGTTGATGGCTTTTGTTGTGCTATAGTTGCACATAGTAGAAAAATGAGTCAATAATACCGTCTCCGAGAAAGAACTGCAAGTCCTTTTATCTTCCATTCGACTTCGCGGTTACGTATATTACTAAACAACCACTAAATTCGCAATTTTTTTGAAATCAAATCACAGAATTAGACTGACAGAAGTGACATCAGATATTTGATTACTTCAAAAGTAAAGATGCAACGCAGGTGTCCCTACTGTTAAAAACTTAAAATTTCACGTCGATAATTTTCAGATTTCAAAATAATGTAATATCTTCTCAATATTGATTCGTCCTTTCTGCTGTCACAGAAAAAATAGTGTATTATACACAGGAAAAATATTACAGTTTAGCTCACGGTTTTTTGTCTCCCTCCGCTACGCGTCGGGAGACAACACAACCTGGAGCTGAAATCTACTACTTTTTTCCCTTGTATAATAAATAACTATTTAACAAAATAAGTATATAAATTCAGTCGAAAACAAGAACAGGCGAGTGGACTATTTTTTCATGTCATAAATATAATCATCACTAAAATACCTTTCAATTTCATATTTTTTAAGAATTTTTTGGTCGATTTTTGGGTGCTAAAATCATCAATAAAGCCACGGTAATTTTTAAACTTCTAGAGATTTACCGCCAGTAAAAATGACGCCACGATTTCGTAAGTAGGGGCAGACCATAGCATAGTTGCCATGTGTTGAAAAAATCTAACATTCTTAAATATTTTGCCACAATTTTCGAAATATTACTTCTTTGGGGTCCTGCAACCAATAATACTCCTAGCGTGTGTTGATTTTTCGAGAGATCACTCGAGAAAAGTTATAATATTATTATAAAAGGTAAGATTTTTAGTGAAATAAAGATTGTTGAACAAACGTTATTATAAGCGCTGGGTATCTTCATACCTTGTTTGGTTTATTGCAGGAAAATATGGATGAGAAAATGGAGAACCAGTTACTAAAATGGTATAAAGAGATAGATTCGCGATAGAAAATAACACGTCGCCCCATCTGACGGCAATAACTTGAACACTTCTGAGGGGTTTGTTTTGATGATATGACCAAAAGCACAAACAAAAAACAAATGTGAACCAATGAAACCAAAGTTAACATGCCGCTTTGACAACTTTCAAGAACCCCGATAGGTGGCGCACGCTTATTTTCTATCGCAAATATAGCGACGTGGCCTACTGTGGCACCACTAGATTCCGATCAAGACTTGAGTGATGTAGTAGTAGTTTTTTGCAGTTATGTTTGAAAAATATGTAAGTTTATCGTTTTTTGCGAGTTAATTGCCAATAAACTCCAATAAGTAGGTACTGATGACTCATTTATTTGACCTATATCCAATATACCCATTGTTAGATAAAATCTAACACGCCAATGATGGCGTAATTGTTTGAGGTGCGCGTGATGGAAGGTTAACTATAGCTCTAGCTCCACTTGTTAGAAATATTAAATACTTATATATAGACAATTTTATCTACTGCAGCTTCTTAAGAAGTGATCTTCTCGATAAAGTCTGTACTTTCTATATAGGTTACGGGCAAAAAACTGAAAAAAGTGCGAACATTTCACCGTTTCCTGCGAATATTTAGGAACGCAAGAAATTTGGTTTGCCAACTTTAGATTCAGATTCAGCAACCCCAAAAACATATAAAACCTCAGAGTAACTGACTACTTGAATGGAATGTGTTCCGCGACAGGATCTTGATCGTTACCGTTTTAATGAGCTAATAACAGTAATGAATATAATAGTGGAATATGAAATTGGGGTTTTTCACAATATTTCAGAATCTTTACTAACAAGGAAGGATAACAATTATTATTCTGTACGGAAGATAAGTAATCAAAATATTTGAATAAAACTAATTGAATAGATAAAGCTGGGGATAATTATAATCATAAAAGTATTTCAATCGATCACCATTAACATCCATATAGAGAATTTGTTGCCAAACTTTCGTTTTTGTTTAAAATTTATCGTTGTATTCGTTGTTCCAAAAATTGAGTGAAAATGTGAGGAACATTTTGAGTATTTCATTTTTGATGCTTGTTTGTTAATTTTGAAAATTTCCTGTCACATCTTTCAAAAACCATATACAGGAAGTACTTTCTGATATTATTTTATACAGGATTCTGAATGAGTCAATCGATTAGAGAGTAGTAGCAAAATATTCCATTAAAAAGTCAGACGAATCCAAGAAGCTGTTTGAGAAGTTATGACCAAAATGGTCGATGAGGCCTCACAGGGGCCTTTATTCGTGGTATGAGTACGTACAGTTCCTCATGACTGACCCTGTATGATTTTACATTTTTACATTTTCTAATTCCTAAACACTTACAGACTTCACATTCCAGTCCTAGCGATTGTGGAATTCTGTTCAATCTAACCAATGGGGTGTGGCCAATGACAGCTAGGGCGTCTGGAAAAATTTTGGGTCTTGGGACATTCCTGTAAATCAATGAGAAGAATTTTGAAGGTATGGCGACCATTCTGCTGATGCACGGCAGACTACTTTAGGAAGGGAGCATTCGTGAAAACAAATGAAAAGATTCGTACAATAGTTATTTGTTTAACTAGGCAGCAAAGTAGTAGATTGACTGCCGAGGCTGAATTCATAGCCGAGCGTAGCGAGGCTAGGAATCCAGCTAAAGCAGTCAATCTACTTTGCTGCCGAGTTGAACATATAATTTTTTCTCCGATTGTTCATAATGATATATATCACTTTATTTTTCCTGTAGTGTTCAATTAAAATAAAATTTGATAGAAATCGCAGTTGTTGGAATGGTTGGTTGCTATGGAAATGTCCATAATAATTATAGTTTGACAATTCATGAAATCTCTGACAGTTGTGCGAAAAAATGTCGGTATATTCGAATTATTATATAATGGACAGTGATAGCGACCTGAAAGTACTTAAACCTCCAGAAATAAGGGAGGTGGCAAAAAATATAGAGTTGAATTTGTTGCCGGAGAAGTCTCGGATGAAATATGAAGGAAATTATTAACGATTTATGGATTATTGATTTTGATGATACATATCAATCAGCAAAGTAACCACTTTGCTGCCTAGGCAGGAAAAGTAATACTTTGCTGATTGATATATGTCAGCAAAATTAATATTTGCTGCCAATCGGAGAAAAAAATCAATTCTCCACCTTGATTTCAGATAAGTGAGATGAGAGAGATGAGAAGGCTATATGTAATGGATTTATAGAGTATAAAAAAAATTCACACGCGTCGTCTAAAAAAATTGGATACTACAGAACCTATATGCTATCTTTTTTCAAACAAGTGTATACTTTTGGAAATGAGTTGCCAGTTTCAATAACTTCCTTCATTGTTGAAAACATTTTGATGAATTCATCAACATTTTTATGACACTTCTACTACTACTTATAACTTCCGGTCATGTTGTCAATGGTATATTAGTTATCAATTTGCAAGCTTCTATTAATGAAACAACTAGAAGGTGTTTCTAAAATAGCAGTAACAAAGCTATCTGAAATGACAAGATAGCTTTTATTTTTCTTGTTGAATTTTTATTTTTTACAGGGTGTTCCATTTAAAAAAAACATATGGTTGCTCCATAACTAAAAAACAAAAGGTGCTAGCAAAAAAATAACTACGCCATTGGATTCTACGAGAAAAACTCTATAAGAACAAGTTTTAACTTCTTCCATAAGTTAAAAGATAACTGAAAAGTGATAATTTTCAATTCCACCCTGTATCTCGACAACCGGAAGAGCTATCACAATTCTGCTTGCGCCATTGTTAATTTCATGAAAAATTAGCACACTGTAGCGAAAACCGCAATGCTCTATCTTTACTGATAAGGGAGAAAGTGCCCAAATTGGGATACCTTGTACTGTTTGCAATCTCCACAGACCGGAATCTTTCGAACACATTCTTTTTGAATGTCCAGTTTATGCTGGTATCAAGATTGTCGATTATTTCAAGACATTGAGTCTCTAGATGATTTAATATCTTCTAAATTATTGTGGCCTAAGTGACTCGAAACTTCTAGTACAGTTTCTGATCAATTTGTTGAAGCTTTGTTGTGAATGAGTAATTTGCATATCAATTGTTATTTCATTGTCTTCATTGGTAGATTAAATCAAGGGCACGCATGAAGGAATTTCGTTTTCGTTTTAGCTAATAGTTGTCATGTATTCATTTATTGCAGATTATCCAACCCTCGTAACAAGAATTGTAAAACTTTTTAAAAGTTATTATTGAATTATTGAAAGCTTTTGTTAGTTCGGGTGGCATCTTTGAACTCAATTTTGAACTAGATATCTTCAACCGATTGAGCTGAAATTTTGTATACACGTTAAGTTTGGATGATAATGCACGATAAGGTGTGTGAAGTTATTCTAAATCCAATATGACGGACCATCCAAGTTGGCATCAGAATAGTTATTTTTAATGCACCTGTACAATATGGGTATCAAAAATGAAAGGCCTCATTGGGAGCAACTCGAAAAATAATGTGACATTATTCTCAATTCAATATGGCGGACCATCCAAGATGGCGGAATAGTTATTTTTGATGCAATTCTTCAATATGGGTATCAAATGAAAGGGCTCGTTGAGAGTAACTCGGAAAATATTAAGTAAAATCATTTAGGAGGTCTCCTTATTGAAGAGCTTTGCAACAATGATGCGTTGAATGAAATGAACAGACTGAGAAACCTAGCGAGCGATAACTAAAAATTTAAAAATAAATTAAAAGTAAAAAACAATTTTATAAAGAGCTTTCATTTAAACGCTGTAAAAAGAATAAAATAAGATGTTCCTTGATAATTTTAACTATCAAATTATAACCTCATTATACACGATTTATATCATCATAAAAGCTTGTCGCGCGATTCACTTGTGTGAATAAACTAGTACTTATTTAATTCTGTAAAATCTGCTGAGTTTCAATTTTTGAAATTTCAATTCAATTAAATATTGATCATTGCGACAAGCTTTTATGATCATATAAATTGTGTATAATGAGGTTATAAGTTGATAGGTAGAATTATAAGGGAACATTTCATTTTATTCTTTTTAGAGCGTACAAATAAAAGCTTTCTATCAAAATGTTCTTTTACTTAATAAATCTATCTATCAATCTATCTACTACCCGTTGTCCTATTATCCGTTTTTCCGTTGGAATGAACCATTTTCCCGCGGTAAAAGTAGACTATGTTCATCAGGGATAATGTTGGCTTCTAATGGTTGAAGAATTTTTCAAATCGTTTCAGTAGTTTCGGAGTCTATTCAATACAAACAAACAAACAAACAAATCTTTCCTCTTTATAACATCAGTATAGATGCATGTTCATTTATTTTACTCTATTCGTATTTCAAACACATATGGTTACCACACCTTTTGAAAATTATTTTCTACTTTTTAGGCTATAGATCTACTAGAGTTTTGTTAGTTTTGAACTAGGTACTATTCATTTTCTGATATCTAGGAATCTAGGTACTCACCAGTCCACAAAAGTATGTACTGAGGTTGAACGATCAGCATTTTTGTTCCAAGTACATTTTGACCCCTTGTCCGCTACTCGGCCAGCATCATTAATTCCAGCTTTGAAATATAAAGGTTTAGACATTTCGAGAACTGAGAATCTCTAATTGAAAATCAAATATTATCGACCTGCTTCAAAGCGTGAGCGCGCAGGAATGACTGAATTGAATGGAGAATATGATGCGTCACAGTGTATATATACTGTGGTTGCGCATGATGCTATAGATGCGATATAATTCCGTTATCACAAACATCTATGAGATGTCGCATTAATAGCAGTTTTTCATCTATTGGAGCACCCGAAAGTGAGTTCCTACTTAGGGAGGATAGGGATAGAAGGTAGGTATAACGGGTATCCCAAGTTATCGTATACAGGCAATCTCGCTTATATGTCAAAATAGTTGGAAAATTCGAAAACTCCATTCGATGGCATTGAAGTACCTTCCATTTTATTTGACAGTTCTCTGGCAGCTACCCCCTACATTTTATTTTCAAATGGCATCCCCTGTATATTTTCAATGGAATTTACGAGTCACTCAATTTGGAATACAACGATAGCGTATACTAGGTATTTTTTTATTGATCACAAGAATATCAACATTTTGTGACTTATTTCAAGTTACTCAATTATCATTATGAAAATGAAATATTGCATCCGATCATGTTTTTTGTTTCTTGAAGCCGATGCTTCTCATGTCATCATAATTTTGAACACTTGCTGTGATTTCTAGTTCATTCTTTGATTCGCATAAAAGCTATTTCAGTTGAAATTCATACTTCATTAAATGTTGCTGTTTTTGTTAAAATAATAAAAAAATACCAAGTATATGCTATCGTTGTCTTCCTTATAGGATGGCACGCAATTTCGAATGACAATATACAGGGGGTGCCATTTGAAAATAAAAAAGTGAGGGATAGCTGCCAGAGAACTGTCAAATGTAATTGATTTGTTTATATGTCATGAGGAAGATATTTCAATGCCATCCAATGCAGTTTCTGAATTTTTCAATTATCTCTTCAAATAAGCGAGAAATTGCCTGTATACGATAACTTGGGACACCCGATATTGATTTTTTTTCATCTTTTTGAGAATATAACTTCTTGGGAATAGGTTCTTCCTTTGGCAAAGAATTCCGAAGCTACGAAGTTCTACTGGGTGTTTCCGAAATTGGGGCGATCAATAGTGTAGACGAAAAAACAAAACGAAATGAAGGAATACATTTTTGTCGACCAAGAAATATTTTGGAAGATATTGAGCTTCATAGTTTACCTGAAACTTCTGTAAATCATTGATCAAAGGTTAATAGCCCAACCCCCGCGTTTGCTTTCGGTGAGATCACAAGCACCAGAAGTATCAATGACTTTTGCAATGTTGCCGGACGTTCGATAATGGTTGAAAGATGTTGAAAAGTCGGCGACCTTTCACTGGAAATGTTCTTCAGGAATCTCTGCTATCATGCCATCACTAGCAATACCAGTCAAACGAACTCGACAAGCCCAGTCAGCAACTCATTCGATTGTCAACGTCACCAATTGTCACTGAGAACTGTAAAGTTTCAAGACAGATCCGAATTTGCGAAGCAGATTCGGTCCCGAAACGTCCAAAGCTAAGTAAAAATTTGATCTTTTTTCTATATACCTTTATTTCTCTTCTCTAAACCTTTTTAAACACAAATTGTCACTGACAAGCTAGTGAATTTTTCTTTCAGGCTCTCTGATAGGAAAATTCTTCAAACGCAGTGACATTTTGGGGCAATAGGTAAATATTCATATTTTTATTTAATAGAAACGTGGAGAGAAAATCCCCAAGAATCTGGAATAATGAATATCTAATACTCTTCAGAATTATTCAATTATTGTAGGTTTGTACTTAATTTTCATATGAAATCATCCTACCCACCGAGCACAAAAACATCTCAGAGATGTTAAAAGTACGAGATTTCGAGACATTGAACCTCCACTGCGATGTTCTGTTCACACATGAACAGAACTATTATAGAACAGCCAATGTCCGCCGCAGGCGGCAATTATCGAGATGTCCTTGATATGTCACAAAACTACCTTCTCCCTAGTTCTTTTTAAAGCCTTTTCATGGACACAACAGAACATTTTCAACGCGTCTTGCGCACATTAAATCGCTGTAAAAAACATTTTCGAGGTACTTTTCTGAAGCCTTTTGTCAAAATGAACTTTTGCATTAGGATTCCATTTCCATTGAAGGAAAAAATGCATTAAAACTAGATTGAACATAAAACTATTTTTCTTGATATGAAATTACCTTCTTAATCGGTTTCTGAGTAGTTCTTACTACACACAGACATATAATTGGAAATAGGTTTCCCAATTTTTGAAATGTTCTCCACAATACATAATTTTGCAACTGCGGAGAAGCTGTGTATTGATAAATTCGTACTTTTATATATTGATTACACTGAGGCACCGAACAACACATCTTGCATCTGATGGTCATTATTACAAACTAAATAAGTCTTCTAACATAATAAACTTCACCAAATTCCTTTCTGTTCGTTAGCAGCCTGATGTAAGCGTGACACGCTGCAAATGCGAATGCCAATTGCGAACAAGTAGAACAAAATTGAAAACAAATCAGAATTCTTCGTATTGTGACGTAAGCATGAGACGTTGTGGTGGGGCAAACAAAGAAAGGGCACAAAAGAACAAAAACAATATTTTCAATATCCTTCTAAGACCTCTTTGGGAAGTGCATATTACGCCTCAAAAAAACATCCTCATGCCTACATTTCTAAAACATCCCAAAACATCCCAGGGATACCTCTCAGTAGGCAAACAAAGAAATGCCACAGAAGAACAAAAACAATACTTTAATATCCTTCAAAGACCTCTTTGGTCAGTGCATATTACGTCTCAAAATAACAGCTTCATGCCAACATTTTCAAAACATCCCAAAACATCCCAGGGATTTTTGTGCTCGCTGGGTATCATATCAATAATATCCAATGTGTGGCAGACATTTCTCCATGGATTCAAGAGACAAGGTGTTGCATAAAAAAATGATCATTTCGTACAGACCTTTCAGAACAGACACCCTGTATATAATATAAATACCTACCTTTCGTAGTTTTATTTCAATTTGCCACCAAATTATTGTCACATTGTGACTTCTGATTTGAGCTATAAAGGTTTGATCAATTTCAGCATTATTATAAATTGCAGAAAAATTCTTCTGAGAGAATATATATTTCACAACACTGTCGATGAAATTTGATTTGTTTAAATAATAACACCTGATACAAGGTCAAGGTACGCCTGTAGGTAATCAGGAAAAAATTAAAATGACAAGCAAGAAATATCATATCTGGAAATTCTAAACTGACACAAATGAAACGGATGAAAAATATTGATATATTGATAAGCTTTATTTCTGGCCTTGAGCACTACAAATGTCTCAATAATGCATCGTTAATCAAGACTAATCAGCAAATCATGTTCGATGTTCAAGAGGGAAATGTCGTTTGGCCATGATGACTGATATCGATCAAAATCTAGTTACTGAACTTTATTATATTATGATACTGCCAACATTTTCGCTCCCAATTCTGAGTTCAACCGGGGCAGCAAACTACACAGTGTGTCCCATATAGGTCATGGATCAAAAGAATTGGGGTGGTAGGGGGGATCATTTCTAATCAAACTAACTGCATATATTGTTCAAGTGTTGTTTTTTCATTTTTATAAAAAAAAATCAATTACAATACTACTATGCCACATTCGTGAATTTTTCTTTTACAAATATTATCCGCATGGACCTTTTCCTAGAAATAATTTTATGACCAGTGTTACTTAATTCGTATCAATTGACCTCAGAAAAATGTTTTTTCCGTAAGTTTAATAAAAAATTCAATAACTTCTGAACCATCAACAATTTGATAATCACATATACCGTTAGTTTGATTGCAAATACCACCCCATTTCTTCTGATCCATGACTTATTGGACACCCTGTATAGAACAATTTAAAGTTTGATAAAAACAGAACGAAGCAAAACTGCAACTTATGATGAAAAAATCCTAAACAAATTATTGCAACAGCAAGAAAACCCGAAGCTTAGCACGAATCACTAGCATCAATGAATGCGGAATTAAATAGAACAGAAATCCGTGAGACAGATTTTGAAGCAGAATAAGAAGAAACCTTATAAAATTCACTACGCTATCCGAAGACGATCCTGGTATGAAGTCACGATGCAAAAAATGAACCAAAATCCCAATTCCTCTTACAATAGAAAAAGGAATACATCTCTAAGTCATCTCCATCACATTAGATGTCGTGGAGATGACATAGAATTTCTTCTTCAACTACTACTACCACTTACCACTCCACTTTGAGCAGTATGGACTTCTTCACACGTTTTCCTCCTACAATATGTTATTCAGCGATGAATAACTGACATTTTGTTTAAATCAAGTCAATAAACTTGATTGCCAAATTTGGGCTGATCACAACCCCCGGTGAATGGAAGAAGTAATTAAATTAATTCCGTGTTTCTAACCTCAAGTTGGATTTTACACGTTTTTGGCTTCTCGCCCCATCAATATCAATTCTAAATTGATTGTTGGATTTTTAGTCCGCTTTGTCAAGGGTACGGGACCTTTTAGTTCTTACTGTTTTACAACCAAAAATGGTTATTAAGAGCACCTTGTGTGCTCGTCAAGTCTCCCTTCTGGGACTTGACTTTTGATTTCATAAGTGCGTGTTCTTAGGGTTCGGGGCCCTTCATTTTTAATAAAAACCTGTTTATTCTCAAGAAACGTCTTTATTATCAATCACGATATCATGATGACAGACATCGGCATCCATTTCAAGAACATATAATGTTCACCTCCATTAACTTCTAAAATACGGCTGAAGATGGACTTTTTTAAGTCCGAAACAAGTCCCTTCGATTGACTTCATTATTGAAGTTGTGGTGATGACTGTGAGCTTACCTTCCTCCCTTTAAAACTATACTTTATTGTTTTCTAACAAATTACGGGACATGTTTCGATGCTTCAAAAGCTTCATCATCAGCTTTTAGTTACATAGGAGCACTGAAGTAAGAGAAAAATGAAGAGAAATGTCAGACAAACACTTCAACAACGACAGTTCAAGAAGACTCACCTGTTCTGGAGGAATAAATCATGTTCACATA